AGATGGATAAAAGACTTAAATGTTAGATCTAAAACCACAAAAACCCTAGAAGAAATCCGAGGGAATACCATTCAGGCCATAGGCATGGGCAAGGATTTCATGACTAAAACACCAAAAGCAATGGCAACAAAAGACAAAATTGACAAATGGGATCTAATTAAACTAAAGAGCTTCTGCACAGGAAAAGAAACTACCACCAGAGTGAACAGGCAACCTGCAGAATGGGAGAAAATTTTTACAATCTACCCATCTGACAAAGGGCTAATATCCAGAGTCTACAAAGAACTTAAACAAATTTAAAAGAAAAAAACAAACAACCCCATCAAAAAGTGGGCAGAGGATATGAACAGGCACTTCTCAAAAGAAGACATTTATGCAGCCAACAGACACATGAAAAAATGCTCATCATCACTGGCCATCAGAGAAATGCAAATCAAAACCACAATGAGATACCATCTCACACCAGTTAGAATGGCGATCATTAAAAAGTCAGGAAACAACAGGTGCTGGAGAGGATGTGGAAAAACAGGAATGCTTTTACACTGTTGGTGGGAGTGTAAACTAGTTCAACCATGTGGAAGACAGTGTGGTGATTCCTCAAGGATCTAGAACTAGAAATACCATTTGACCTAGCCATCCCATTACTGGGAATATACCCAAAGGATTATAAATCATGCTGCTATAAAGACACATGCACACGTATGTTTATTGCAACACTATTCACAATAGCAAAGACTTGGAACCAACCCAAATATCCATCAATGATAGACTAGATTAAGAAAATGTGGCACATATACACCATGGAATACTATGCAGTCATAAAAAAGGATGAGTTCATGTCCTTTGTAGGGACATGGATGAAGCTGGAAGCCATCATTCTAAGCAAACTATTGCAAGGACAGAAAACGAAACACCGCATGTTCTCACTCATAAGTGGGAAATGAACAATAAGAACACTTGGACACAGGGTGGGGGACATCACACACTGGGGCTTGTCATGGGGTGGGGGTAGGCGGGAAGGATAGCATTAGGAGATATGCCTAATGTAAATGACGAATTAACGGGTGCAGCACACCAACATGGCACATGTATACATATGTAACAAACCTGTATGTTGTGCACATGTACCCTAGAACTTAAAGTATATTAAAAAAAAAAAAAAAAGAAACATGTCATGGAGTCAGGAGTTGCAGGTAAAATTATAAATCAATATATGGAAGGTATATATTGGTTTGGCCCCAAAAAGTCGGACATCTCAAGGCCTGGGCTTACGAGTTTTAGGTAGGCTTAGGGATTCTTTAGTTGGAAATTGGTAGAAAAAGTTAAGCTTTATGTAAAACATGGAGTCAGTAGAAAGGAATGCTAAGGGGGTCTACTATCTGTCAGGTGATGCCATGTCAGAGTCAGGTTGGAAAGCAAGTCACAATGTACTGGGTAGGAAAGGACCTTTTTGATGAAATTTTACGGTTTGTAAGGCATGACTCCTCAGGTCCTTAAAAAGGAATTTCAGAAAGAAAGAAAAAAGATAAGAGTTCAGTTCTCAACCTGCACTCTCTAACATCTGCCAGCAGCTGAGCTCCTGGGTGGGGGGCAGGTGAAGTGGCGTTCTTCATGGCCCCACCCAACCTTGGGCCCCCTTCTTTCCGTGTGCTCGCAGCATTGTGGGGACACTGTGAGAGCAGTTTTTGTTCCATTATTTCCCCGCCTCAGGAAGGGGATCCTTACGCTGCTAGCTCCGCACCTGAGAACACATGTCTCTCATCTACCGCTGCCTTCATCCCCAAGCTCTGTGGGTATGCAACCTGTCCTTCTGGGGCACTTGGTCTCCCTTGCTTCTTGGCTTGAGCTGGCCAGCCCTATGTGGTCGCCTGAGCAGCCAATGGAGGAAGATGTTCTTTGCTGAGCCCTGACGGTGTGATTGAACATTGGAGGGACCTGGGTCTTCACACGTCCTGGGCTGCTTGTTTCCATCATACTCATAACATCTGTTGTCTTAGGGCCAACCAAACTCTACTGCCCACATCTAAGGTCAGTTTTGTTAGTGTGATCCGTGCATAGGTTCAGGTTTAGCTCTTCAAAACCATCTGGCCTCTGTTGACCCATTGAGTCAGAGTCAAGATGAAAAATTAAGACCAAGACAGTTCCATTGACTCATGGAATTTTTGAGTTTGTTAACAGCAACATTTTTGTGTGAGCGTGAAAGGAAGTGGAGTGTGTGGACATGGGATCCTGAGACGCCTCTAAATTGTCTCCTTCTCTACCAAGGCTGTGTTAGCCTTGGGCGCACCAGGATGGACACAGACATATATAAAAGGGCTTGATGCAGCGTAGCTTGCCCTTCCACTTTCTGCCACATGAGGACACAGCAGGGAGGCCCTCACAAGATGCTGGCACTTTGGTCCTGGGCTTCCCAGCCTCTACAGCTGTGAAAAATAAGTTTCTGTTTCCTGTAAATTACCCAGCCTGTGTTGTTCTGTAATAGCAGCATAAACAGAAGAGGACAGTTCCTTTCCTGGGCTCAGCAGGGGCCAGGGAAGAACCAGAACTCCAACTCACAGGAGATATATGGACATGAGGGACTCTGGGTCTTGGGACCTGAAGTGGAGATTTGGAGTGAGTAGGAGTTGTCCTGAGACTACATACAGGGCCAGGACTGACAGCTGGGATGTTTCCTTGTGTATGTATCCTGGCAGTTCCCTGCCCTCCCCAGGCACTACCCCATCTTCCCTTCCTCTGTCTCAAGGAGAGAGTTTTGGGGAGTCTGCAAAAACCTCCTCACATTTTCCTTGTCACTTTGTGTTCATTATTATGCTCAATCTCCCCAGGGCTGTGTACCAGCCCTGACCCCCTGGGAAAAATGAAAAGTGTCCAGATGTCCCCCAGCAGATGGGAAAGTGGCCACAATGTAGAATAAAGTAGTGTATATGTAGCATATTTTGGAACTAATTTATACTTAGTGTTTTATTCTACTGCCGCTTGTGATTTCAGCTGTAACCATTTGAGGACAGCCAAGCAGAGGTTGCCATCTTTATATAATGACTCAGGGACAGCAGATGAGAGATTAGGAGCTGAGGGGTGCAGGGTTAAATGAGAACTCACATTTCTGGGGAAGGACGAAGCTAATGATACTACACTACAATCTGTGCCCCTTTTCCTTCCTGGGGTTGGGGTCCAGGGATGCTACTGACCAGATGTTCCCAGCATGTCTCTGGTCTCAGCCTCTGGCACAAAATTTGCTCAGGGGCCCACCTCATGGCTACACTCAACATCTATGAACCTAATTTCCTGATTCTTCACTGCACAGATTCCTGAAGGAAGAGAAGTATAGCTATCTCCAGGAGCAAGTGCAGATAGGCAAGGCAAACTGGGAGAGTTCTTTCCAAAGGAACAGGGCCCGCAATGCGAGACCTATCCTCTAATTAGGCCTGTGCACCTGGGTCATGTCGTGCATGATGTAGAGCCTGGAAAACGAATAAAAATCAACACATGTCCCAGAAATTGTGGATGTCCATTTCTTGGGGATGCAGAAAACTGTTAAAGACACACACATGTAGTCTGAGTCAGGCAGGAATTAGTGCATCCTCCCAGGGACCAGTGCCTTGGAGTGGGCTCCTCTCCCCTTGCTCCATGAGGGACGGCTGTGCTCCCAGAGGGTCCTGAGCCAGGACCCCCCCTCACCTCAGGGGGCTCACTCCCCATGAGACCCTGTCCTGGGAGCTGCCTCAGAATTGGTTCTCGAATGGAATGAGTGGGGTGGATTGTTGGGAGGACACTTGTTGGAATCACGGTGGATAAAGCGCCTCTTCTGAGCTTCCTTCTGCTGATGGAGTCAGGGTCAGGAGAAGGACCAAGGGTGGGAGCAGACAGGAGAGGTGGTGGGAGGGTCTCAAAGGAAAATCTGCTCAAGTCTGGAGCAAGGCAGGGCAGGGCTGTGTGGGTTCTAGAGAACCACTCACCAGATGGGACAAAGTGCAGCAGCTGTGCCCACCTCAGTGCTGGCAGGCCGCAGGGAGGTCTCCGGGCCTGGGTCACCCCTCTGCTTTGCCTGAACACCCACAGTCTAGGGGCCACGCTCCTAGCATCTCTATGGAGGCCACGTGCCAAGATGATAGTCCAAACGCACCACAGGTATTGTGTTGGGTCCCCCCAGGCGGACCCTGAAACGCAGACTGGTGGGTGCAGGTGGTTTATCTGGAGGTGATCCCAGGAGGCACAAGTGAGAAAGGGAGATGGAGAAGGGAAACACAAGGTGTCTGTTCTCGATGGGTTATTCTGGGGCCGGGGGCGTTCATTCTGCTTGGGAGCTCTGAGAACCATGTGGCACACACCTCTGAATCGGGGGTCTGGAGGCTGGGAAACTGGGACATTCACTTGCCTCCCTCCTGAAGATGGAGTGTGACTCTCAGACTTGACCTTAGGGGTTGGCAACCATGGCCCGAGGACCAAAAGCAGCCCAGTCTGCTTGTCTCCATGTGTAAACAAAGTCTTGTTGGAACACAACTGCTCTTATTTGTTTTTGCATTGCCTATGGCTGCTTTCAATATACAAAGGCAGTGCTGGGTGACTGAGAAAGTGACTATAAGCCTACAAAGATCAAATTAGTTACTCTTTAAATCTTTGCAGAAAATACATGCTGAAGCCTGGTCTGGGAGATGTGGACAGGGTGTCCATAGCTGCTGGCTATTCTCAGCTAACACACTACGTATACATGCACCCTGAGCATTAGTGCCAATGTCACATGTGCTGTGTGGGATCCCGAGTCCCTGTCCTGCTCCATGTGCACATCCGGTGCCCTGGGAGGCCACCCTCACTGCCCCTCTGCAGCCTGCAAGGGGCCCTGAGATGGCAGCTCAGACGCACCTTAGCTGTGCCTCTGGAAGCGGCTCAGGAGGCCCAACAGGGGAGAAAAACTTACCCCTGAGAGCCCAGGAGGCTGCCCTGCTGAGAATAACTCCATCAACTGCCCAGGCCCCTCCCTCCAGAATCACGGCACACAAAGCTTCTTAAAATGCCAATTGTTAAGATGTATACCACATGATGAACTTAGACAATGAAGAATTTCTAAAATACCTCAGCATGAACTCCTAACACATGGAAAGTAAGAATGCACAAGCACAGAGCTGCTCAGGCACTGAAGGGCCATGCTGAGGAACTGCCGACGTGCTGGAAAAGAGAGGACAGCATGTGGCCAGGCCCATGGCTAGGACCCACTCAGGAATGCCCGCCTGAGCATGTCTTGTTCCAGAGGTCAAACCGTGTCCTCCAGGGCTCTATTCCGATGGTGAAGAAGCAGGAAGGGACAGTGGGTGGGGGCTTGGGTCGCAGAAGCTTGTGGCTTCTGCTATCAACACAGGTTCCATCTCAATCTTGCCCATTCCCAGGGCTGGGCTCTGGCCCCCAAGTATGGCCCTCCAGCATGAGTTCTGGGCTGTTCCAGACTTTCAGGGTGATCTGTGGCTCCCTCCTGACAAGGAACACCTATATTAGCACCCTCCTCCCCAGCCAGCAGCCTCCAGGGAAACCCAGGCTGTCCAGTGTCTTTCACCCTCCAAGAACAGCATGGCACCCTCCATTCCAGAGGGAGCTGCTCTCAGATTTAAACAATTACTTAACCTATTACCTAATCCTCTGATAAGTAATGCTAGATGTGTCGTGCAGTGTCAGGGTTCATTATGTCCTTGTCCCCAGGGCAGGCACTGCAGCTCAGCAGGAGCCAGGACAGGACCAGGGAAAGAGGGCAGTAGGGCCCCTCCTCAGCCTCCGCCTGCCTCAGACTCTGGGTCAGGGGAGGGGGGCCCTGAGAACCGCACACTCAGAGAGAAGTGACGTTGGATCCCCACCAGGCTCTTTCTTCAAAAAGCAGAGGAAGGCTGGGGAGGAAGACCAGAGAGAGGACAGCCTCTACTCAGGGCTAGGAGACTAGGACCCCAGTGGGCAAGAGCAGTCGGAAGGCCATGTGCCCTGGGTGCAGGCAGCTGCAGTGGTGTGACATGGCAGAGTCAGGAAACTCCAGTTGGCCAGGAGCCTGCAAGTGGACCCCTGGCTGCCTGCCCCTCTATGCTCCCCACTAAGGCACAAGCAGAGCAACCTGGTAGAGGCTGCTGCGGGCTCACTTCTCTAAGTCTCTTTGTCAGTTGCGCCCGTGCCCACACCACGCCCCATGTGGCATCCACAGCTGTGTCCAGGAGGGAAGCTGGTGTCTTGTCTTACATCGTTCAGCTCTGGGCTCTCTTGAAAAGGGCAGTTGTCAATGTCGTCTTCAAATTTCCCGCACGTGGTTCGGCCCAGTTGCAGATTCATGGAGAATGTCATCTTATCGTAACCCTGTTGAATAAAAAAAAGATTAAAGTGGACAGACTCTTTGAGTTGCTCATAGGTAACTCCTTGTGAATATGTGACCTTGTAGGAAGAGGCTTCGACACTCCCCTCTATTAGGGAGCTCGCACATGGGCCTGGCATCAGCTCACTGGAGGTAAAACCCCAGAGACCTTCTCTAGACTGAGGAGTTAAGAGCAAACAGCCAATATGTGTGGTGGGTCCTGGGACAGACACAGCCTGTCAAACCCTATTAATGCATCCTCTATGTCCAGCTTCACCTCCTTGTCTCCCATGATGAGACCCGGCTTCACTCCCAGCAGGCATGTGAGCCTGCAGCTGCATTTTCAGAGGACACGTGCTGCACGCTCGGGAAGGTGTTAGCTCTCCATGAGTTTTCAGGGTAACCTCAGCCCTGCGGCAGAGGGAGCCTCATCTAGAGTGTGTTGTCCAACCTTCCACCTGACCTCCAGCAAGAGGAATGCAAGAATGCCGCCCAGCGCTCCCACTACACACAGGCACACACCCTGGGGACAATGGCTTTCAGAAACACCATCTGCCCTATTGCAAAGTGCACTCTGAAATTCTCCTCGCTCTCCTTCCCACTCCATTTCATTCCACGCCATAGACTCCCTCCCCATGCATGCATTCCTCTCAGCCCCTCAACTGACTCTGGGGTTGCCACATCCGGGCAGCCACGTGGAAGGCTCCACACCAGAGGGCGGGGGGCAGGGAACCAGCCAGGGCCTTGCACAGAGTCTTCCCAGAGCTTAAGCTGTGTGCAGCACTGGAGTCCCTCTGCCCTTCTTGCAGGCTCTTGGTACTGACAAAGGAAGAGCAATGCTCCTTCTCCCTCTAAACCAGAAGTTCTCCACTAGGAGGGCATTTTATTTGTTCATGCCTGCAGCCCGGATGAACTACACATTCCTGAATCATTTAATGATTCCATTAAAAGGAGAACATTTTAGGATTAAGGACCATGGACTGAGGAAGAGTGTAACACAATGTTCAATTCATTAAGTGTGGACGCAGCAAGGAGCCCAGAGCAGGTGGAAATCAGAGAACTGACCTCACCACGGCCTCCCGGGGCTGATGGTGCTTCTTTTTCACTTCTGAATTATCAGCTCTCTTTGTCTCTCTGTCTCTCCTTCTGTTTCTTTCTGCCTATCTGTCTCTGTCTCTGTCTTCCCTTTCTTTTACTCTGATTATCTCTTTTCCTAATTATCTATTTTTAAATTTCTTTGAAATGTTTCTCAGTTTCTGTCTGTGGACATTTTTTTGTGCGACCCATTTCCTCACCTGATGCATCATTTGCTCAGTTTTCCTTATTTTGAGGTCATTCTTCAGTTAAGTGATGCCATAAAAATCATGGAGGATGAATAATATATCTAGTATTGAGTAGATCTAGACTCAAAAAATTATGATGTATATCTTTCATAAAGACAAAAAGCAAATTTCTGAGGTTGTATTTTACACAAGTTTAGACTACAAATGGTGAACCAAGAGTCCTGGTTAAGCCCTGCCACACACGCTCCCACCCCTGCCCATCACTCAGCAGCCTGTGCTGGACGCTAGGGAAGAAGACGATGTGGTCACCAACCTGCTCCTTCCAGGAATCCAGGACACGCACCAGCTTGTAGGCATACCAGTCCTTGCTCTGCTGGTTGAATGTGTACACGGCAAACTCCAGGGTGGGAGGGAGATACACAGCAATTTGTTTTTGGTCATTCCACTCCTCTTCCTCTTGGAAACGCCAAGCATAGTAACCAGGTAACTGCTGAAGAGAAGCAGCAGTGGCACCCAGGACAGAGCCATGCTCTGCGGCAGACTCAACATGGCGCAGGGCCCAGCAAGCACCCCTGCCTCTAGCCTTCCCAGCCTGGACTCCCGCAGGAACCTACTGCACACAGTTCTGGCCCTTAAACTCTTGAGCTCAGGCGGAAACTCCTCCCTCCAGGCCTCATCTCTGGCATTACAATCTGTCCCTCCCAAATGTGGCTTCACCTCCTCCAGAAAAAGCTGTTTCCATCATCTCTTGTCCAGGGAGAAGTAACAGCAACCACGGGGGTGGGTTAGAAAGATCAGGGACCCCAGAGGGCACGAGCAGGGCATGAGGTCCAGCCACCACTGCTCCCTAGTGCCTCAGTGGGCTAGAGGAGAGCACCCACTTCCTTGGGTGTCCCAGGGTCAGATCCTGAAATAAGAACAGAAGGGCAAGGGGTGTGAGTGGAAGGTGATCCCTGGACATGCCAGTGGGGTGGGGAAGCAAAACCAGACGCGTCAAGGACTAAAAGAGGAGCTGCCGGGAGCAAAAGAGCTGTGAGTGAACAGAAGGCATGGCTGCACGGGGACTCATAGGAAGGCTCCACAGCACCCGGCTGAGTATCAGCAACCTGATGCTCTAGGGCTCTGGGGCTGACGGTGAAGACTGCTCTTGGGCATCCTTCATGGCTGCTTTAAAGCTTAGGACCTGCTGCACTGGCAGAGCAACCTCCCGACAAAGAACTTGGGAATTATTAGTACAGGTGCTTGCAGTTGGATTCAGCCACTGGAGATACAAGTTTGGCAAAGTTGGGGGATGGTCCCAGGAACCCCACACTGCTGGAAGTCAGCGATAGAGGAGGGGGCTGGGGACAGAAACAATGCCATGCATTCAGCACCAGGTCACTTTCTCCTGAGCATAGCTGGACATAGATATGACCTGTGCTGAGCTCTGACCTTGGATGTGGCGGCCGTGAAGGACGATGTGCCCAAGCCGAGGATACTCCCATGAGCTGGTGCATACCCTTCCTTCCCAGGCCTGCAAGATGGAGGGAGCATCCAGGTGGGACTCGGAGTCTATGTATGGTACTCACAGGAGTGGGTCTCAGCAGAGTTGCCTGCAGCACAGTCCTCACCCTCTGGCTGACCCTCTCAGCCCTGAGTCATGGTTAACAAATGCCATTTCATGCTTCCACCCCCTGAGATCCTTGTTGTCCCTTCCAGCAGCTGGCAGAACTTAATGAATTCACCTAGGTTCTACCAGAGATGCAAGGGGTTGGGGTTAGTGGTGGAGGGATGGTCCTAGACTTGGAGACCTGAGACCCAGTCCAGCTGTACCAGGAGCTGATTCTGCACCCTCGCCCTTCCCTGAACTTCCTGGGCTTCACTTGTCTGCTCCTCAGATGGGCGTAGCATCGTCCATCCAGCCTCCAGAGGCTTGTTGCTTACTGGACAAATTGTCCTCATGGAGTCAAACTGCTGTGATAATTGCGAATCTGTATGCTTAGATTGGCAATTGTTCTGCACTGGCAGTTCCTTTCCTTATCTCTGCTGAGGGTACATCTGGACTTTGCACATTTGACATTTTTCCCCAGTGTCCAGGCCTGGACCACAGCCTGGGGAAGGAATGAAGGCAGGGCTCAACACTGCCACTGAGGCTGACAGCAAAGTGCAGACTCTGGGAGGTATTCTCACCACTGTGATGACTCAGTGCACCTGCGTATCTCTCCAGAGGGGAGCACAGATGAAGGAGGCCAAGGCACAGGACATTCCTGTAGAGAGGGGCGCAGAGGGAGGGTGGGCAGGGGCCCTGGAGACAGGCGCAGTCTGGCTTCCTTCCCATGCTCTCTCCAGAGCCCCACCTGGGTCCTCCCTCACACTCTCCTCACCCACCTGGAGCACCCTACCCATCTGCACCATGTACTCTGCATCTCCTTGATCTTCATGTTGTATTTTGACTGTTTCTGTATTAATTCACTTAGCATAATGGCCATTAGCTTCATCCATTTTCCTGCAAGTGATATAATTTTGTTCCTTTTTTATGACTGTGTAGTATTCCATGGTGTATATGTACCACTTTTTCTTTATCAGATACACTGTTGATGGGCAATTTGGTTGATTCCATGTCTTTGCTATGGTAAATAGTGCTGCAATGAACAAAGACTGTATGTGTCTTCTTGGTAGAATGATTTATTTTCCTTTGGTTACATACCCAGTAATGAGATTGCTGGGTCAAATGGTCATTCTACTTTTAGTTCTTTGAGAAAATTGCCAATTGCTCTCCACAGTGGCTGAACTAATTTACATTCCCACCAACAGTGTGTAAGTGTTCCCTCTTCCCTGCAGCCTCGCCAACATCTGTTGTTTTTTGACTTTTAAATATTAATCATAGCCACTCTGACCAGTGTGAGATGATATCTCATTTTGTTTTCTTTTTTAACTTTTATTTTAGGTTCACGGGTACATGGACAGGTTTGTTTTATACGTAATTTGCCTCTTAAGGGGTTTGGCGTACAGACTGTTTCATCACACAAGTAATAATCACAGTACCTGACAGGTAAATTTTTTTATCCTCAGTCTCCCCTGGCCTTCCACCCTCCACCCTCAGGTAGGCCCTTATTCCTTTCTTTGTGTTGATGTGTACTCAGTTCTCACTTATAGGCGAGAACATGTAGTATTTGGTTTTCTGTTCCTGTGTTAGTTCGCTTAGGATAATGGCCTCCAGCTCCATCAATGTTGCTACAAAGGACATGATCTTACTATTTTTTTTATGACTGCATAGTATTATTTACTATGTATGTACCATATTGTCTTTATCCAATCTACTGCTCATGGACATTTAGGTTGATTCCCTGTCTTTGCTATTGTGAATAGTGTTGTGATGAACATGCACGTGCATATGTCTTTATGGTAGAATGGTTTATATTCCTTTCTCTGTATACCCAATAATAAGTTTTCTGGTTTGAATGGTAGTTCTGCTTTGAGTTCTTTGAGAATTCACCAAATTGTTTTCCACAATGACTGAACTAATTTACATCCCTACCAGCAGTGTATAAGTGCTTTCTTTTTTCTACAACCTTACCGGCATCTGTTGTTTTGTTTTGTTTTTTTACTTTTTGGTAATAGCCATTCTGACTGGTGTGAGATGGTATCTCATTGCAGTTTTGATTTGCATTTCTCTAATGATTGGTGATGTTGAGCATTTTTTCACATGCTTGTTGTCCACATGTATGTCTTCCTTAGAGAAGTGTCTGTTCATGGCCTTTGCCCACTTTTTAATGGGGTTATGCATTTTTTTTCTTGTAAATTTGTTTAAGCTCCATATAGATGCTGGCTATTAGACCCTTGTCCAAAGCACAGTTTGCAAAATTTTTCTCCCATCCTATAGGCTCTGTGTTTACTCTGTTGATAGTTTCCTTTGCTGTGCAGAAGCTCTTTCTTCAGTTTAATTAGATCCTATTTGTCAATTTTTGCTTTTGTTGCCTATACTTTTGGTGTCTTCATCATGAAATCTTTGCCAGTTCCTATGTCCAGAATGGTATTGCAGAGGTTGTCTTTCAGGGTTTTTATAGTTTTGAGTTTTACATGTAAGTCATTAATCCATCTTGAGTTGATTTTTGTATATGGTGTAAGGAAGGGGTTCAGTCTCAATCTTCTGCATGTGGCTAACTACTTATCCCAACACCTGTTATTGAATAGGGGGTTCTTTTTCCATTACTTGTTTTTTCAGCTTTGCTGAAGATCAGATGATTGGAGGTGTGTGACCCTATTTCTGGGCTCTCTATTCTGTTCCAATGGACTATGTGTCTGTTCTTGTACCAGTACTATGTTGTTTTGGTTATTGTAGCCCTGTAGCATGGTTTGACATTGGGTAACATGATGCCTCCAGCTTTGTTCTTTTTGCTTAAAATTGCCTTGGCTATTCAGGCTCTTTATTGGTTTCATATTAATGTTAAAATAGTTTTTTCTAGTTCTGAGAAGTATGTCTTTGGCAGTTTGTTGGGAATAGCATTGAATCTGTACATTACTTTTGGGCAGTACAGCCTTTTTATTAATATTGATTCTTCCTATTCATGAGCATGGAATATTTTTTCATTTGTTTGGGCCATCTCTGATTTCTTTGAAAATTTTTTTGTAGTTCTCATTGTAGAGATCTACAATGTAGATCTTTGCTGTATTCCGAGGTATTTTATTCTCTTTGTGGCAATTGTGAGTGGGATTGTGTTCCTGATTTGGCTCTTGGCTTAGCTCTTGTTGGTGTATAGAAATTCTAGTGAATTTTGTACATTGATCTTGTATCCTGAAACTTTGCTAAAGTTGTTTATTAGCTGAAGGAGCTTTTGGACTATGAGGTTGTCTAGATATAAAAGAATGTCATCTGCAAACAGAGATGGTTTACCTTCCTCTCTTCCTATTTGGATGCCCTTTATTTCTTTCTCTTGCCTGATTGCTCTGGCCAGAACTTCCCATACTATGTTGAATAGGAGCGAGGGAGAGGGCATCCTTGTCTTATGCTGGTTTTCAAGGGGAATGCTTCCAGCTTTTGCCCATTCAGTATGGTGTTGGCTGTGGGTTTGTCATATATTGCTTTTATTATTTTAAGTTATGTTCCTTCAATACGTATTTTATTGAGAGTTTTTAACATGAATGGATGTTGAGTTCTATTGAAAGCCTCTTTTGCATATATTGAGATAATCATTTGGGTTTATATATTTTTTGTTCTGCTTATGTGATGAATTACATTCACCAATTTGTGTTTGTTGAATCAAACTTGCATCTCAGGGATAAAGTCTACTTAAGTGTGATGGACAAGCTTCTTGATGTACTGGCAGATTTGGTTTACTAGTATTTTGTTGAGGATTTCTGCATCTATGTTCATCAAAGATATTGGCCTGAAGTTTTCTTTTTTTTGTTGTTGTTGTGTTTCTGCCAGGTTTTGGTATCAGAATAATGCTGGACTCATAGAATGAGTTAGGGAGGAGGCTCTCTTCTTCAATGTTTTGGAGAAGTTTCAGTGGAAATGGTATCAGCTCTTCTTTATACATCTGGTAGAATTCAGCTGTGAATCTGTTTGGTCCTAGGTTTTTCCTCATTGGTAGGCTTTTTATTACTGTCTCAAGTTTGGAACTTGTTATTG